GTAGTGGAGTCCAGGAGTCTGACTCTGCATCTTATATTGTTTTGTGCGACGCGTTCGGTCCGAGGGTGGTGGGGGGTGGGGTGGTGTGGGGTAATTATCCTACACGGTCCTATATTTGCTGAATCTCGCAGGGCTGTCCATAGCTATAGGCAATCAGATGATAGTTTTGACTATGGAAGTATTAAGAGTAATTTGTTAATTCACTTGTTTCCTTTTGAAAGAAGGGATAATGAATAAGTAACCATATATAACTATTATTATTATCATCATCATCATCATCATCATTATTATCGTCATCATTACTGAGTCAATAGATAAATATATAACTATTGTCAGGATAATGCTATGATTACTTTAAACAGAATACTTCCGTGAAAAATTTTAAAGCTTTTTGTCCCGATCAAAGTTTCTCGCAGTTAAATGCATGACTCGGGATCTAGCAGTGCGGGATTTTAAAGCTTAAAAAACAGGCTTGAACGGGATTTGAATCGAACGGCCATGATTCAGCGATACTCTTCAGTTCACAAAGGAAACACACAATCTGCGGCTGCTTTTAACAAGGGGTTCAGAGAGATCTGAAGGTCGAGTGAATATTTGCAGCCAAGCGTAGGCATTTCAGGCATTTACGAAGTTTGAGCACAATCCTTAAAACATTCGAACCAAGCTTTACGGACACCCGCTTAATACGGAGACCTCGTTATTACGGACGGTTTTTTTTGTCTCTGGCGGGAAAGCCCTTGCATTTTCTCAGTGCGGACAAAAAGGAAACTTGTTTCTGACCCAATCAACAGATTCTTATAGAAAGTCAACCTTGTTAATATAACGCGGACACTTCATTATCAACTGTGTGCTGTAATGGACTTTTCCTTTTCCAAAGGTGAAAAAAATTGACAGCAACCTCGTTCCCAGGGTTCTCGTCCCTACCGAGCGACGTGTGGGAAAGAGCCCGGAGAGAGACTGGGAAGAAGGTTGCAATTGACAGCATGTCGATGTTCCCAGCGCTACAGTACACCGTTCAGGACGAGTTGTAAAAATCAATTTCAAGAGACTTTTTTCATCAAACGCGTTATGCACAGAACGGTTTTGATTAAGTAATTCTCGAAAGAAATACATAGATGAGCGATTTTTAAGTGTTACCGTGGATTTAGCTCTGTAAAGGTTCGAGATGTTAAATTTGATGATGCTCCTTTATTTCTTTAGTGTTTTGTTCTAATAAAATGTTTTTTTGACTTCAATAACATGACCCACTTTTAATACGTTAATACAGACCCTTTCCAGCGTCCGTATTAACGAGGTTTGACTGTAGAAACTTGGGTTACCTGTGGTCTAACTCACCTTGGTTGGCCTTGGACTTTGAACGGCTTAGCAGCCGCTCGCTCGTTTATTACGACAACTTACACAACAGTAAATTTTCGTAGTCATCTCGTGCGCGTTAGAAGAGGCAACTAAGATTCTTTGCCAAAATTTCTTCCAGAATGTTGCGCTGTGGATGTCTCAGATTTTCTCGAGGTCTTGCCTACTTACCAAAGGGGAGATCCAGCGAGATATTTTCAGAATCGTCGAACTTTAAGAGGTAAGTCGGTGAGTAGTAACAATGCTAATTCATCATTCGCAAGGAATCTTTTATACAGTATTGTCCTTCGAATTCGATAGAATAAAACCTTTCACTCCAAAATTTTTAGGTCGGCTTAGGTAGCCAAGATCATATTATTTCTAAAACCGTGTTATTAGATCGGTATATAGCGTGGAAATGTTGTATTGACTGTTTTGCGTAACCTGACAACAACTGTTTCTCAGCTGTTTCCTTATGTAATAGAACTGACGTGTTGTTCTAAGTGAAAGTATATAAACGTGTCACAGTTTGGTCCCCGAGTTTAAGGTGGTGACATGAGTCGCTTTCGCTTTCGAGCAATATTATTTAACTTACACGTATCTGCTGTCGTCACAATGAAATTGAATTGAGGAAACTGGAAACGTGTTTAGTCGAGGGGGCGTGATGTAGGAAGGGCCAGTTAAAAATTCACCGATTTTTCCCTATGATCGTTTTGGCCGTTTGTTATTAAAATTATTATTATTATATCACTGCAAACCTGTCTATGAAAATAGTGAAAATACTTGTATAAATGTAAGCGTACCCTCCTGGAGTTGAATTCCAAGGGACCATATCCAAGTTCAGAAAGGGAAATAGCATTTCGTCATTGTTTGTTTACGTACTCCGTAAAATGCGAAATTAGGCATTTTCACGTCGTAGTCGTGCAAAAACAGGTAAAGAAATGTACAAACGAGCCTGATGCACGTGCAAAGTTGTTTTTTTGGTTATAAAACCTATTGTTTTTATGGCGTTTTCGTCACCGTCCACGTCATTGGATCTTTAAAGTCGACATGTCATAAAGTTAACAAAGTCATGCAATCAGTTTTTGCTCAACGCTGTAAACTATTTAACCATTGTATTCTATTTAAAATGTGCCGTGGCATACTCACATAATTGTTCCTTTTGCTTTAGGCTTATCTTGCCAGCCATATTGCTAGGGTAGCAAGAATAAAATGTATTTCAGTTGAAAACATGAAGTAAAAGGACAAAAGTTTTGAACATATAATTGAAGTTATTATTCATTCAAAATATTTCTCCGTTTCTGATTGGGTAAGCGATATGTGAAAAATGACGTCAATTGTGCAGCAAAACTGCCAGATTATTGAACTGTTAACCGAGAAGACCTGGGGATGATCTTGGTAGTGAGTGCAAAATGGCGTAACATTTCACTCCTTTCACGAGAAAGAAATAGGCGAACTGTTGGCTAAAAACATAGCAAGAACAGCAAGAAGACAACTTCACAAGCAACATCTGCTATTGGAGAATATTTGTAGAACTGAACAACCCTTTATCTCCTAAAGTTGCCCATAAACATGCACTATTGAAGATGAACTTAACGTTGATGGAGGTACATGTAAGCATGTTAAACTTAAAGCTTGTTTTAAAACTAGGAATCATTTTGAATGACTAATAAAACAACTATTGAATTCAGCTTTTGTATCATCTAAAGCATTATGGGGATCTCGGAGGAATCAATGTCAGCAGATAACACCCTCGTCGATCTCAATAATTCTTCAGATCATACTCAGCCTCATTCAATGATTGTTAATTACAGATAGCAATGAGAAATTTGACCTGGTGAGATAAAAATCTTGACCAGGTCATAGACTGAACTTTCTATTGGTTTAATGGTATATTAAGTCTAGTATATACAATAATAATTTATTTTACCTATTCAATATTTTATTTTATTATCTTTTATGTAGAGTTGTTCTTCTTGGTTCACCAAACACAAAACATGGGTATGCCACAGAGGCAAAGGTATGTACACTGTATGATATCTACAGTCAATCTCCATGCAGAGTTTTGTTATTATTAACAGTCCAAGAATATAGAATTTTGTTGGTAAATGTGTAGTGGGAGCACTGTGGGTATTGAAGCTCAGGCCAGACTGTAGCCATGAAAAAAAGTGGCTAAATTTCAAACTAAAGTACAGAAAAGCTCTTTTGTGTGGGAGAGATATGCAGAATTGGAAAGACTCCTGGATAATCCATTACAGTTGGCTCTGTTCCATACACTCAAACTGAGCTGGGTAGGAAATTATGTTTGTAGCATACGCAATATATACAGGCAGTGTTCTCGCCAGGCTGCGCGGCCTTGCGGAATTCCCACAAGAAAATCTGAGATGGCGCATAAAAAGCCAAGAAGATGCTCCCGCACAGGGGCATGCTATGAGTCAAACGGACTTTGGAATGTCTACAGTTAAGTAGTTTTAATGGTCAACCTAACACCACAGCATTTTGCTTGGTCGAATGAATAAAAAACATGATATCAAAAGATTCAAAGTCTTTAATTTTATTTCTTTTTGTTATTCTTATAACTTCACTAACTCTGTCTTATTTACTACTTGTAGCCCACAGAATCAAAATCATTTGTCATGGGATTATTTAGAGGAAATCCAAAAGTGGAGCAAGTGTTTCCTTTTCCAGAAGGTAAATTTAAGTATCAATTTCACAGTCAGATTTCAGCTACTCATGCAGTGTATGTATGTTTCATTTGATGATATTGTTAAATTACATATCATTTTTTTATGTATATGTTGTAGTTAATTTTTTATCTCAGGTAATTTTTATTTTTCTGTTGTTTAAACTTCATTAGCATATATTATCATACTCAAAAACAAAAGAAAAACAAAAATTAACTGAGATAAAAAATTAACTATAATGCATACATGTTTTCTGCACACAAAAAAAACTATTTAGAATGATCTATACATGTATTATTAATTTTAGGCGTAAAAAGTAACACTATTAAAACATGACTTTTCAGCAAGGACATCTCACCATTATCAAGTTATTTATTTATTTAGTTTTTATCGTTATTAAATTTTTTCTTTACTATTTTTAGTTTTATTCAATATAACATTTTTCCCCCATAGTCTTGGACTCTGAGCAAGAAAGTGTACTACAAGCATATGTAGATCCAGTGACCAAGTTTTTTGAGGTTGGACATTATTACTTTGTAACAGATATTATTGTACTTTACAAATGGATAATCAATCAGCAACAAGTAATCAGACCACACATGAATTAAGACAGTACATACAGTTCTTTACCTCAAACCTCATTAACATGGATGCTACATGAATACCACACTATATTTCATAGCACCTTGTACATGTATTATGTTGGATTATATCTAGTTGCACATGTAGTATGTAAATGGCCAAATTTTTATAACCTCTGAGAGGTAATTTAAAGTGCTTAGTACCATGATTCTTTTTAGGTATGGTTTTGTTTTAATACTAACTGGTACTAACCATCCAGACATTTATTATATTGTGGTGAAGATTTTCCTTATTTAATTTTGATTATTTTCATTGCGCCCAAACCATTACCTTAATATGGGAGGAAGAAATACAAAAATAAAAAAAATCTGTATGGTTTCAAATGAAAATGAAATTTGTAAACCAAACCAAGTTAACCAAGACATAATGTGAACTGTTATTTTACTTACTAAAATGTCAAATTATATTTGATTATAGTTATTAATTCGTTCATTTTTTCTGTTACTTACATCTTTGATCATGTAGGAACAGAATGACCCTATGAAAAATGATGAGTTGGAAAAAGTAGAAGATACCACATTGGCAGGTCTNAAAACAAACCTCTCCCCCACACCACCCCCCTCCACCATCCCCCAATAAAAAAATGGGGTGAGGCAAAAAAAAGAAAGGCACACAACACCTTTTCCTTCCCATACCCCCAAAAGGAAAAGGGGGGTTTCACCCCTCCCCTCCCCCCCCCCCCCCCCCCACTAGCAACCAAGAAAGTGAAGAGAAAAATTGCACTATAATAGTTTACGAAAGCCAAATTTAAGATAATTTTTGTATTGATATGAAACAGATCGGGTAGATACATGGTTTTTATAAGCACAAACATCGTTACCTCCTGATATCTTTGAAACAGTTATTTGCCGTCATCACTCATCGAATACAAATCAGAACAAAAGTATTCCAAATTTGGTCAGCACTAATAGTCCATAAATGTTTATGAAACATTATTTGGGGGATTTCTGTAAGCGTATCAGAATTGGAGAATTGTTTTGAGTGAAGAACAATCATTAGTATCATTTGATACTTCAACATTCAAAATGCCCCCTTTCCCCCTCCTCTCACAAAGTATTTACAAAACCACACCTACATCAGTCAAGCGACAAGCTCATTGTATTTCGCGACTCAACTCTCGATTCTTAAAAAGTTTCGAGAATCGAGGATCGAGATGCTACTGACTGTCAACTTACTTTTGAGCGGTACTGTACTTAAATAATACTTATTCCATCTTATAATCTCAGGTGCCAACAGATTTAGGTGGACTTGGTCTAACTAACACCCAGGTAATTATAATTTTTAATAAATATTGCAAATACAAGAATCAAGTACAAAAACATCAAAACATGAGGATGTTGACTTGCTCATTCAATAAATATCTAGTATGCCAGGCTTGTGGAAATCGTTGGTGCCCATGATCTTGCTGTAGGAATCACTCTTGGAGCACATCAGTCAATTGGATTCAAAGGAATTCTTCTTCATGGAAATAAGGTGAGTTAGCTTCATTTACAGACCTGTGCACATGAAGATCTGTCTTGTTGGATACCGTAAAATTCCGAAAATAAGCCCCAGGGCTTATATTTTTCAAAGGCCCTTTTTGTGGGGCTTATAATTATTCGGAGGGGCTTATCTACGGAGGGAAATTTGCATTTCAAAATCGATTGGGCTAGCCTTATATTTGGAAGTAAATTTACCGTTTTTGCTTTGTTTTACTTTGTATTTGAGGGCAATTTTCCAAGTACAAGCCCTCAGGGGGCTTATATTTGGAGGGGTGATTTAATGGAGGGTTTTTTTGCCTTACCGGATCGGGGGGCTTATTTTTATTTGGAGGGGCTTATTTTCGGAATTTTATGGTACCCTAAATATGACTTGTGTTGAATTCTCTAAATAGACTGTCCATGTTTAAGAATAATACAATTTACTTGTATGCAGCGTGCAAAGAAAGTAGTATCCGATACCCCGGGGCTAGTGGATTTTGCTATCGGGCTAGTGAATTCTGTTTTTAACTTGCCTGAAGGGCAAGTGATGTTTTTTGAGGAATTCAAATAACAGAAGAACTATGAAATCAATTCTGCTTGTCATAAAGCTTTTGGAGCTAGTTGAAATGATATCTGGGCTAGTAAATGCTAGCTTCAGCTTGCCCGAATGGCCAGCTGTAAAAATGATTTTCTTTGCACCCTGGTATGTTATAATGATTGTGTATTCTAGGCAGAAAAATAATTTATTTTTTTCTATTTTTAAGGAGCAAAAAGAGAAGTACCTACCACTGGTAAGTACCATTTAACAAGTTTTTGTTTCTTGTCTGAAAAAATTAAGAAAAATGATTCTCTGATTTATAGAATTACTATAGATACATGTAAGACTCTTTGAATTCCCATTTTATTATTCCTGTAGGTTGCTCCTTGTGAAAAAATGGCAGCATTCTGTTTAACAGAGCCAAGTAGTGGATCCGATGCAGGGGTAGGCCTTTTGTACTGTATCCATTAAAAGTCATGAAGCATTTTTTTGTTTTGCAACAAGATGTTAACAGGAGGCAGCCTGGATAAGCGGTTAGAGGGCCTGAGTTCATGTCCCACCCTAACCGCTAGCCTTATTTGCTCTCGGTAGTCCTGAATTCAACTCCCTGGTGGCACTTTTAAAATAGCCAACTGGGTCACCTCAGTAGGGGTTCTTCCTGGTTATTTTCCTTCTAAATTTGTTTTATCCCTGAAAAGCGACATATTGGCTTTTATTTTTTATTAACTGAGATTGCAATTGGAATTACAACGGGATAGAATGCAGCAAACAGGGTACAAGCAAAAGGACACAAGATGTCTCTTTTCTGGTCACCCACCCCGTCACACTTCGTCTTAACATTCATGCTAGACTTTTGCAAAGTCCTTCTAGGTCATACGTTTTTTTTTCTTTTGTTTACTGCATCACATGCTTGGGTCGCTTCACAACCTCTTTAAAGGCAATAAGCTTGCGTCACTTGCTTTTGGATTACTGACTTCTTTCCCTGTATTTTTATAAAAAGAGGACAAGGGAGAATGATTTAAAGAGGTTGCTCTTTTACAAGTCTAAGTTCTAAAAGTACTTAACTTTAATTTACTCTTCCTTTTAACAGTCTATACGAACACAGGCTGAACTAAGCAAGGATGGTAAACATTACATCTTAAATGGAGGCAAGTTGTGGTAAGTACATTACTAACCCCTTTCAAAAGAAGCATGAAATTTGTCCCTGTAATATCAATGCTTTATGAAACACATTGGTCATAACACTAATTCGTAACGTAATGGCAAACCTTAAACGCTTAATAAATTAATGGAGTAAATTACCTTACACAAATGCGCGTCTTTACATAATTATTATTAATTGCATAATCTTATTTGAAATCACAGGATCAGCAATGGAGGATTAGCTGATATCTTCACTGTCTTTGCCAAGGTACACGATCAAACTTATGATCTAATAGAACTTGAAACTACATAATATATTATCAAAAATATATTTTGTAACGTTTTGTTAGTTTCACAAGAGTATGTATATTAGGTTGCATAATACTGCTGAAGTATTTAAGGCGTGTTTGTAAGGAGTCTCAAGGGGCTAGTACACTATTTAAGATTTGTTAAGTTATGCAAGAGCCATTCGAGGCATCTTTTTCAACCCTAGTTTTTTATTTTATTTACGGTTGTAATTTTCTCTGAGTTTCTAAAACTAATCATGAAATGCTGTTTTTGTAACGTTTTGCGCTCGCTTGATCAATAAACGAGATGCCCGCTCCTATTCTGTGTTTTGTGATTATTTAGATTAGTTACAAAATATTTTATAATCGTTTCAGTGTGATTAGAATATAATAATCTTTATCCGATTAGGCTAGCGATGTAAATATTAAAATGTAAATAAATATTATTTAGAATTAAAAATGTAAATATCAAAATGTTTGTCGTTACTCTTTTCAGACTCCCATAACAGATCCTAATACAGGCGAAACAAAGGACAAAGTAACAGCTTTCATTGTCGAGAGGGGGTTTGGTGGAGTAACAACGTAAGTTTTTATCCATTGTTGTCCTGTATTTACGTGCTCACATCGAGTAAGACGTACACGATATCTCTAGCAAAAAGGGTGCTGTAAAGTGAACAGATTTCTTGACATCCAGAGTAAGACGTGTTCACAGAGCGACCATCTCTTCCGATGTAGTGTCTTTCCGATCGATTTGTTACCATTTCACCCGATTTTTAGTAAGAAGCCTCATAAGTTTTCATCCTACTACATGCTTTAGTGGCCGTACGTGCCGCAAATGCTGCGACCCTATTGCTACGATCAGTAGTCACTGCTTCTTTTTCCTGTTGGAAGCGACCACTCAAGGGGCATGATCAGCTAACGGTGTTATAGATTGCGAAACAGTCGGCCTTTTTTTCTCAAAATCGCTTTATTAATGCGCGGCTCATGGTTTTCATTTCACCGCTCGCGCATTCTCGACCTACACGTAACCAAAAATTCGGAATGTTTTGCAGTCTTTGGTGGTATTAACTATTAGTAAGGGGTCGTGTAAACGGGGTGGTTCCCAGTACTATGTCATCAAAACTTCAGTAGAATTAAGCCGGTTTTGTCTCGTTGTTTTCAGTGGTCCGCCAGAGAAGAAAATGGGAATCAAGGCTTCCAACACTGCGGAGGTCAGTGCTCTCAAAACTGCATTTATCCACGTTTTACGGCAGTTTTCATGTATTCAAATGATAAGGTCAGGGTGCGAAGAGAGACAGTTTTACAGCTTGTCATTCGGGCCAGCTGTAGCTCGCATTTGCTAGCCCAATAGTCACTTGAATTAGCCCCAAAATATTTGTTGATGAGCAGGATTGATTACAGTTCTTCTGTAATTAAATTCCCCCCAAAAAACTTCACTTTTAGTTGAGTTGAAAACAGAGTTCACTAGCCCTATGGCAAAATCAATTAGTCCTGGGCTATCGGACGGGCCTTCACGCTGAAGGTCCACAAAAGGGGACCCTAACGCTTATCTCACCTTGTTATAGGAAACTGGTTTTTCTAATTTCGATGATGTAAGTTGAAGTGAAACTTACTCCCAGAAACGAAAACTTGATTCAGGGGAAGTAATGTATATCAAAATGGAGAAATTAACATAGCGAGAAGCACAGTTTGCGGTGACAGCAGCAACAAAGACTGAGAAAATACTCTACATATGAATTAGTTTAGTGATTAATTATAATATGTACATTGTAAATCCGCTGTCAACACTCATTACTTTGTCAGGTCCACTTTGATAATGTTCCAGTACCTTTGGAAAATGTCTTGGGAGGTTGGTGTAATTACAATTTCAAAAACGTGTTGTTAACATTCATAGTTACATTGTAGTAGAAACAACTGAATGGCATTCTGTAGCTCAGGGAGGGTTATCCAATATACACAGGTTTTTAATGTGCTTTATTATAAGAGTCACATGATTCGTAAAGCATTAACATAGTGCACAGTTTTGATTGGTTTGTCTGTTGGTGAAGCGAATGCCCCATATAATCCTCGTCACCTCCCACATTACATATAGTTACGCCCCCACTTCCCCCCTTAAAAAAGGGGGAAAAGGTTTTTGTTCTAGCCAACCAAAACACGAGGTTACAATCAAGTGAACCAATCACCTCTCGAAGGAAACACATGTAGCACATGCTATATGCGCTGAAAACTTTATTTATTTATTTATTTATTTATTTATTTATTTATTTATTTATATATTTATTTACATCATGTTAGGTGTTGGTAATGGCTTTAAGGTTGCCATGCATATTCTAAACAACGGAAGATTCGGAATGGCCGCTGCGCTGTCTGGGACCATGAAGGGACTGATAGCCAAGGCTGTAAGTACATGTAGAGTCCGTAGAGTCTTTGCACTCAGATCGTATTTAAGCGTTTTTTGTGGCTCTATTTTCCCTTTTCCTTTTTGCATTTCACTCGTGTTCTTTGGTTAGCTTGTTCGAGGCGCTCTGGTACAACAAACACACGTACAGTAGCGGAACGTGACGCGAAATAAAAAGAGGAGAGAAAGAACCCCTCGGCGGTGTTTTTTTTCTGCTTACGTGTCTTTGCACTGTCCCCACTAACTGGACGGCTGGAACAGGCTACCAATGGGTCGTTCATTGAAAAGAAGTCTATAATTTACACCGTGGATTAAGATCGCCCGGTTGAGTTTAGTCCTAGATACATGTACAGGACTGCTGTGGACATTGCCTGACGTTGTGACAACCTGTGTTACTTTGTATAAGTCATCACGGTTAAGCGGGATAGTGACTTTCCTACCAGTTATCAAAAAGTCTGTCTCTCATCAAAAGTTTTAGAGATTACAATCTTCCACACGATGATGATGATTTTATAGCACATGTACGTGAACTTCTGAAATGTCTGTTTGGCTCAGATCATTTGCATCGTTCAAATGCTGTTGTTTGTTTTTTTTTTTATACTAGGCGGACCATGCAGCAAGCAGAGTTCAATTTGGCCAAAAACTGGAAGAGTTTGGTGTCATTCAAGAAAAGTTAGCAAGAATGGCCATGCTTCAGTATGTTACGGAGGTGCGCTACAGTAGATTACCGTACACGCTTCAACCGGAAGTTGACTTTTTACATTCTTGGCCCGTGGTTTTGCCGAAATTTTCGGGAAAATCGTGTTTGTAAGAGTAAAGACACATAGCAAGACAAATTTTGTAGCCTGCGAGAGTATCCGGTTACCGGAAATACGTCTGCGGCTCGCAGGCTACAAATTTTGTAGCGTCAAGGCGTATTAAAGGTGGAAATGCGTCACTTCCGGTTGGTGTTCCTTACTCAAAAGTTCCTTTTGGTCATTTGGAAGTCAGATTTGATTAAGTGTCATCTTCTTCATTTGTTGCTACGCTAAACTTGACGTTTTTTTTTATACACTTTTTTTCTTTTTGTTTCAGTCTATGGCCTACATGATCAGTGCAAACATGGATCAAGGAGCCATTGATTTCCAGCTCGAAGCAGCCATTAGCAAAGTGTATGCTTCGGTAAGTATTGCAAGCTATGGTGGCGGCCATACAGTTTAGGCTCTCTAATACAGACGCCTCGGTCAGTATGAAAACCGGGACCTATCTGTAAAAAAGTCAGAGCGCTTAGCTCTTCCCTTTGGTGTCAGGGCGAAGGTAAAAGTCTGCCTGAACCTCAACTTGTTTTGCCATTGGCAGTAGCAGGTTAATGGAGTAATTTTCTTTTTTTTTTAATTTTAGGAAGCAGCGTGGTTTGTTGCAGACGAGTGTATTCAGATTCTTGGTGGAATGGGATACATGAAGGTAAGAAAAATAACATTGTAGCCTCTCATCTTACGTTAAAAGGTGTCGGAGAAATCGTATTTAGTGCATGAAGAAGGGTTTGAACGCCTTAGTTCTCTAAACGGTTGTTTTGTTTTTGGTTGTTGGTTTCTCACTGTCATATACGGAACTTTGTTTTTGTCGTTGTTTTGACGTTTTAGGACTGTGGAGCTGAGAGAGTGATGCGTGATCTTAGGATTTTCAGGATATTTGAAGGCACCAACGACATTTTGAGGTTATTTGTTTCACTAACCGGTCTCCAGGTAATCCACTGCAAATTCTGTACTTTTTCATTACACGCAATTTGTCTTGTAAAAGACGGCGCGCTGGATATTTATTGCGTTATAATTGCGATAAACTAAAACCCTATTATCAACTTGTCTTAAAACTATCTCACACGTTCAGTGGAGGTCAAAAGAACTGAGGACACTGTGGAAAGATCCTTCCAAGTAATTGTTATAGATTGTGCATAGGACTCTGCTCCTTAAACAGTCTTTGGTTTGACTTTGGGTTCATCCCTTTATTCTCCCATCCTCAACTCGTCTTCGACAACGTTGCCACCCCAAACAGACTATTTTCCACCCATTTTGCTCAAAATTAAATTTCGTTTGGGGTGTGAGAGGGGAGGTCGTCAGGTTTACTGATATCACTGGGAAGTTCCCAACACCTTTGACCTCCATTGTCAACTGGCAGAAATCCTTTGTTTAGTTGGTTCCGGAAGCAGTAAACTTAAGCTTTAGATTTGCAATTCGAAAAAAAAAAATACCATGATTTTGCTATTTAATTTGATTCATATCCCTCGCTTTTCCCAACAGGACGCCGGCAAATATCTAAGAGAACTTCAAAAGTCGCTAAAAAATCCAGCAGCCAACCTGGGACTAGTTGTCTCCGAAGGTTTAAAACGATCAAAAAGGTACGTGTGTATACGTTGTCGCCGATACAGTAACTATCGATTTGACCACAATCGTGGGGTCATAGCCGAAAAAATTTGTAAAACTCAGTTGACAGAAACAAATTATCTTCTAAAAGGGAATGGTTAATGCTGCCTTAAGTAAAAATTTTGCACGCCTTTGGACAAAGAAATGTATTAACTTACGTAACTTAGCCTTAGAGCTTGTTTTGCGCGGAAATGTTGTAAGTGGAACGGGTTAATTTTTCGCTTCGTTTGTTCTCTCTCGTGACGAAAATTATATTAAGATTCCTGAGGAAGAGAAATCTGTAGAAACGACGACTCTTGAGAGTTGTCTCTCAGGATCTTATTTCTTCTTCTTGCTGTTTTGTTGTTGTTGTTTTTTTTTTGCTGATTAATTTGTTTGTTTTGCGTGTCAATAGGGCTGTTGGGATAAAATCAGGTCCTTCTCTAACAGAGCACGTTCACCCAGACCTAGCCTCGTCCGCTAAGCTGGTAAGGAGATCTAAGCTCAATTTTTTACTCCAATCGAGTCAACCCTGATGGTCAATAGAAATCAAGAGAGATGGGAAGGAACGAAAAGAAAAAAATCTGATGTGAAGCGAGTGTAGTTGGGATGTTAGTGAAACGTGAAACAAGGAACGAGAAACGGGACACGGAGAAATGAAACATGGGGACAGTTTCTTCGTTATCCATTCTGTGTTATGTTCGTAGTTTTCCTTTTTTCCTTTTCCTGTGCCCGTCCTCATTTTTCCGTTCCTCGTTTTAGTAACATAATAATTAAAGCTTTTTTTTTGGTTTTCGGGTATCAGCGGGTAATGTACAGTATTAAGATTGAAACAAAGAAGAAAATATTTAAGCCAAGGCTAAGACTTTGCCACAGTCCTTGTTGACTTTTGAAATAATTTTTTTAGTGGTTATACATGGTTGTGAACTGTGAACTTGTGTCTTTGTAGGCTTCCGTGGCGGCTGGAGACTTTGCTGCAACAGCAGAAAAGCTACTTATAAGACATGGGAAAAAAATTGTCGGTAAGCAACTGGAGATATCGTATGATCTTAACCTTTTGATTTTTAATAATTATGTGGGTCCACGTGCTGAGGATACTGCACATTTATTAATCATATCTATTTTGACTTAAAAATGGAGGAAAAAAAATAGATATAGAATAATACCGTTTTGGTGGAGATTAACTCCATTTCTACTCCATATTCGGAGCTTAAGTGGCTCTTATTGCCAGAGAGTTAATTGTTACCCTTCTTTTTGACTTAACTCTACCAGGACGGAAAACAACTACTTCTTGGAGTTGATTTTAAATTTTCTTTGTAGTTATTATAGCTTTTGAAAAAGCGCGGTTAGTAGCAGTTAAGTAGTATTAGTCCGTGAGCCCGCCTTTCTTCAAGAAATCGGATTTCTCAACCGGCCGGTAACAAGCTTGTTCCATCCTACGTTTTATACTTTCACAGATCAACAGTTCTTACTAAAGAGACTGGCAGATGCTGCTATTGACATTTACGGTATGGCTGCCGTACTTTCCCGGTAAGTAACTCTGTGACCTGTTACAGAGTTAGGTGATGCACCACTCTGCTGTCCGAGCACAAATGAAAGAAAATAACCCGTTCTTCTGTAATTGATGACTCCAATAACTTGCCATGTTTTAAACGAGTAGGGAACTGGTACGACTTATGACCGCAAAGGCTCTTGGAATCGTTTGAAAGTACTGCAAAAAATATATATATATATATGGCGTACAGCACCAACCCACCTGTTAAGCGTTCCTCTTCAAGTTATATTTACGGTCGAATACATATCTGGTGCATTTGGGTCCTTGGGGATTAGTTGCATTTCTGAATCTGTTATCGTAGTTTGGAACAGCACTTGTAGTGCGCCATGTTGGTTGACCTTCATGATGTCCGGCCACAAATGATCCCAAGAAGCTTCGTGGTCGTATCCAGTTTTTCACTCGCTTAGAACATGGCGAATAGGCCATTTCCGAGTTCCCCCGGGCCTCTGTATCAAAACGAGTGCTCAGCCTTTGATATCGAAATGATTTTTCATTCTCAAGCCAATAAAACTCATTTTGACAAGAAAGGTTTTGCACTTGGCCTCATTTTGAAAGTGAGGGTTTTTGGAACTATGAAGTGGCCTATTCAGCTATCTTAGACGTCGTGAACGATCCTTCCTTTTTTCCCCGTTTTCTTTTTTGCTACTGCCCTCTTTGTTGGCAGGTAATGTTCTTTACAATTAATGCGACTTTTTCTTTATTTGTTTAGAGCGTCTCGGTCCCTCAACAACAAAGTATCAACAGCCCAACATGAAGCGATTCTAGCACAAGTTTTCTGCGATGAGGTAGAGTTATTTGTGCATTTTCAGTATGTTCCGAGCTTCTTTTTTTCAGACGGTTATACCTTATGTATGCTGAACTATACTTTGCGAAAATGACCCTTCATCATCTAGCTGCCAATATTGATCCATCAGGGCTGAATAGTCCTGGAAACTGGTCGAGCCAACTCAAGTCCCTTCATGAAACAGTTCCTAAGTACACAATGCGTGAAGGAGTAGTACTTGATCTTGATTCCGGTTAACTTTGCAGCGAAATTAGGTGCTGCTGATTTCATTACTAACGAGATCTGACAACGTTCGGTTGGCCAGTGACGATTAGTCCCTAGAGCGCGCGACATGGGCGCGGATGTGCGAGAAGCGACAGCCGTCGCCATGAAACACCTAACAATGTCCAAGGGTAAACTCTTACTCATGTCATTGTTCTTATCTTTGTAGGCTGCTGACCGGATAAGACAGAGTCTAGACTCGTTACACGACTCCAACAAACTTTCCAATGACACGAAAATGGCAAGGATAGCAACGGAAGTCATAAGAAACATGAACACAGTCCCTGCTCATCCTCTTGGATTCTAATCCCCTGACTCATTCGCACGATAACTGTCTGTTACCTTGGAAATCATGTATGCATTTGGATGTCGATAAGGATGTCTGTCTTATTAATATCACGCTTTCTTTCTTTTATCAGTATCTGGAAAGGAAACTTCCAAATGCAAACACAGGTTTAGATTCTCTTTTCTGTTTTAGTTTTTTTTTGATTTGAGATATACAAGATGTTAATTCGTGGTTCCATTGGAAGCAAAGACATTTCAGTGACTACAGCATGACGTCCATTCCCGGTGTAAGATATTTAAGAGAAGATTAATGATGTGGCTTCGTTGTGGCGTTGAATGACTGAAATATTCATTTGTCTTCTTAACAAAGCCAATTCAATGGGACAGAGATATTCCCTCTTTCCTTTACCATTTTTTCAAAAACAACTGTGATATTGAACGTTCTGACCGAGTCTTATGGCTGTATCAGCTAAGCGTAGACTCGTAGCGATCGGTGTTTAATTAGCTGTGCAGCGAAGTAGATTGAAATCCGGCAGTTTCTCCTGTAAAGTTAAGTTTATTTAAATTAAGAAGCTGCAACATTTTACTTTGGGTAACATTTCAACGTAATTTTCACAACAAGCAAAGATACTAAAAATTAAAAGCCTTGTCTGATATATGGCATTTTCTTTTACTGCTATTGCCCAAGTAGTCGGCGTTATTTATGAGGCCGGTACCCTGTAAAAACGTCGCAATCACGCAATAAAAAAGTATGTTACATAGCAACAAGGAATGGCAATTTACATTGATTTGGGACGACACATACATTCCCCACCCCCTCCACGCTTCCCACGCCAGCGTTTTTAGTAGAGTGGTGAGGGAGGGACGAAATACGACTACCCTAAAAACGCTTGCTTGTGAGGCTAGACTTAGCCTCGCTCTACTTAGCCTAGACTTGCTCGAATTCGGGACGGTTTTAATTCAGACGCCGAACTGTTCATGTGCCCAAACTGTTACTACAGTGAAATATATAAATTACTTTAACATATTTGACATTTCAAACCCCATATCAAGCTAAGCGTCTGACGAAACAAAAGGCCTTCACCAACATATTAGGTTGCAAGAACGTATAGGCCGTTTTAAAACTGGCCGCATCAGAGCACGCATTAATGCTCTTCTGCTAAAGCCGCATTAGCATGTCCGGGCTATCTTGACGAAATTGAGCAAACATTTGTAGTTCGTCTGGTTACGTCTCGAGTATCAAGACGGGCCCAAGATGCATTATGCGTCCAACCAAACGAGGCACTATGTAAGGCCACTACAGGGCCGGCTCCTGCGCATGTCCATCCGTCCACGACTTCAATTCATTGCTGAGAATATAAAACATATGAATGTTCGCTTTAAATTAGAGTCTTTTCGAAATGCTATGTTAAAATGAATAACATCAAGTTGTTATATTGCAAACGGCCCTTTCGCTGTTTAAATTTAAATGGTAGTCCATTTAATTATAATTACTGATTTGTTAAAGAATCATTTTATAGTCATTGTTAGTGCTTTGATAACGCTGTCTTAAAGCGCTTTCCAGAAGTCAAAACGTATTGGCCAGACCGGTAACATTGAAAATGAAATATTAATCTTTTCTCAAAATTTTGACCAAACCCATCACCTGACTACAGTCCGTGCATGCCATTTAGGAATAAACGGATCTTGCGGGATAGTCCATGTTAATAGTGTAATTCTCTTGACGGTTGACATGTTTTGGCCAGCCAGTGCTGACAAATGGTTAAGCGCCCCTAGTCTCCTTCTCAACCGAGTATGAATAAAGGGATTGAACCACATTTGATCATATCCTCCTGTATGTTAATTTGCACTATATAAATATTAAATATTATAGGTTGCCGTATGTTAATTTGCACTATATAGATATTAATAAAATATATCATCGAAGGGATGGCTGGTGATATTTTATCAAGCCATTTTGAGTAGTAAAGACAAAGTTTGTGCTCTTTGTCAACCATTACGGCATTGGTATATATTTCTAACTGTTAAAAATTGATCTGGCTCGGGCCCGGCTGCGTTTTTGGAGAGTTCGTATTTCCTCCCCTCCCATCGAGGGAGGGCAACACAACTCTCCTAAAAACGCCTGCTTGGCAGGCTAGCTGATAGTACGCCTGACTTTTCACGAACGATCAGATCACAACGTAAAGTGCTTTTTGTTGATCGCTACATTTCATGGTCCCTGACTTATTGAAATCACCATTAGTATTCTCTTTATCATCATGATAGACGTATTGTTCTTCTTTTCAGCTGAATAAAATACATCAAATTTAATAACTTTTCCGTTTATTAAATGATAACACAGCTTTTTAGCTGGTATTGTCCCAGCTTAAGCTTTTTACACAAGTTCACTAGCAGATGTGACAGCTGCATTATGTTAGTATATTTAAGAGTCGATTTTCCCTGTGTTTCTGTTGTTTATGAGCGCAAGATAATGTACGCTGTTGTTGGGTTTATAGTTTTTGTACTTGGGCCTGTCCTTTCTGAAGGTAAGAGGAGACAAAAGAAAATAAGCGATAACTGAAGACAACGTGAAAAACGGAGTAAAGCCTAGCAGAGACGCTGAAAATAATCATATAGACTATCGGCAACCTCTAAAAATGACAGTTCTCTTCCATCTACGTATGACACGACTTCTGATCTGGCTTCAAACCATTTGCTATGTTTAGAAGTACAAAGAGTTATAAAAAACGCGCTATAAAATATATCATCACTAGAAATTGAACCTTTTCTTATTGTCACGTTAAGTAACAATTCACTTAGTATAGAGCGAAAAGTGCATGGCAAAAGGTATTGACTAATTCTGAGCTTAAGTAATTGATTTAAAGACCCCGGTAATCATAACCAAATCAGTCTCAACTATCAATTATCAAAAACTAATAAGCTCTTTGATGCAGATTAAGAGCTAGAAGGAAAAGGAATCTTTATTTAATTCTTACTCACCTGTAGCCATTTCTTTCGAGCCCTGATGTATATAAGACAACCTGTTTTATCCTGTGATTAAAAGCTCTCCATTTGGATATTGCTACCTTGCTTTCAGGCTACACTGCACAGGCAACAGGTTGCCCTCTTTTCTTTCTTTTCTTTTTTTTCCCAACAGGTTGCGGGCAACGCCCAGGGGTTCGAATAATAGGCGGGTCAACAGCGACTCCCAATTCCTGGCCTTGGCAGCTTTCTCTGAGAGTAATGGGCGTTCACAATTGTGGAGCTTCACTAATAAGTCCTAAATGGGCTGTTACAGCAGCTCATTGTGTAGACCGTTATTATGATCCCCACGTTTACAGTCTAGTTGCTGGTAGGTACGATCACAGGTGCCTTATAATGTAATTTCAAGCCTTGAAACTGAGATCGGGCGTAGGACGAATATATCACCGTTCATCATTACTCAACTCCCACCCAAGTGGGTTATGGCATTCCCGTTACTCGGAGCATTAGGTAGTCGACTAAACAGATTAAGAATGAAGCAGATAAGAAGATTTAGAATAAGGACAACATATGGCGAAGCTTATCCTTGGTGGTCACCTTCCCAGTTGCAGCAGATTTTTTGAAAACGAACCTGACGAAATTTGCGAGCCATTTGAGTTAAAAAGGGTTTTGCGCCCGATAAGTTCGAAAATCACACTAGCATAGGAAAAGGAAAGGAGAATAAATTAAAAAGAGCGAGAAGGAAGCAAGCCTGGAGGAGAAGAGGAAAAAGGCAATGGTTGCACTCTTAGTTTTTATTTTTGCTACTTGGCTGAAGATTTGAAAAAAGGGTGTGAGACGTAATAGGTCTTTTTTTTAGATGACGTTTTCAAAAATCCCGCTAAAGTCCCGTTTAGAAAAAGTACCTTAGATATCATTTATAGGTAAAACAACGCCACTATAAATGCTCGATCAAGATCAGTAAATCAGTAGGTAGCCGAAATGTGCCAGTTTCGAATGATCAAAACTCATACCAGACACCGAGAACAGGGAGAATAAAAGTAAAAGAAATAAATTAATAATCCTTTAAAGAATCTTAATTTCTTTAATATCTTTTGTTTTATACCCTCCAGCCTCTTAACAAAGTGTTAATTTTAATAATAATTTCTTTTAATGAACGCATCAACGCGTTTAATCCTATGGTAAAGTCAACCTTCAACAAGGACACAAGGCAATGACCAACTATCATGTTTGTCACATATTTCCTTTATTCAAACAAAAACAACAACAACAACAATGATGTTTATTTTTACTCTCCATTGTCTTACAATAAATTACAACAATGACAATATTGAAAATAGAATTAGCTAGAGTACTGGCTGCGCCTGGAATAGCCAGCGGGGCTAGTGGAGCCAGGCACCCAGTGACATCAGCATTAAAGGGACCGAATAAATTACAGGTCCGTAAAATACTGTAGCCAGATTGTAGCCCAAGTGCTGCACACATAGCATTCAAATCATTCATTCTGTTTTGTTTCTAATTTTAATTCATTCAATAGGGGCGCACCAAATTCAAGGAGACGGTGTTGTATATCGCGTCAACAAAATAATCATGCATGCTGGTTTTTCCATGTCCCACCTCAGGAATGATATCGCGTTGATGAGACTGGTCAAACCTGTACAACTTGGTCCCAAAGTGGGAACTGTTTGTTTTCCAAGGAAAAATACACGTGTTGCTACAGGAACAAAATGCTGGATTTCAGGTTTGTCAAGTTTTAAAATAAAGGAAACAGGGTGCTTGTTTTTAGTGATTGATCCCAACTCGATCAGCGTCATTGTGCTGGCCCGTAACGCAAAACTTGTTGGGACGGGGGGGGGGAGGGGATTCTACCACTTTCCACCTTTTGAGGGAGTGGGGGAGGGGAAGCAGAAGAAAGAGACTGCTCGTTGAACTGTTGGCAATTCACGGTTTTAACCATGAATTGCCAACAAAAAAGATTGCATCCTCCTTGTCTCCCCCCTTTGACATAAGTTCTTAAAGAAGATTTTTTCATTTTTTCTTGTAAAATGTAAGAATGACAAAAATCAGAGTTTTATCTCTGAGATAACGAGACAACCGTGTGGTGTAGAATGTATGCAGCCCTTTGTCTCCCTTTTACTTCCCGCCTCAAGCCCAATCCTGATTGTTTAATATTAAGGAGGTTGCAAATGCTGAATGGCTTGGGTGTAAATGACTTTTTTGTCTCCTGAAGAAACGACATGGTCTGTGACTAGTACAAGAGTACGACGAATATATCATTTTAAACTAAAATCATTACCACCCATATAAAGGCTTTGGATTAAGACAATTTCACTGTTAACATCGACATGACGTCACTTCTGTCATATTCCTTAAAGAACTGTTTCCTTTTGTAGAAACTTTTAATTGCTCTTTTTTAACAAAAACTAAAACTGATTGTCACGAGAGGTAACTGAATTTTTATAAAGTACTCATTGAATCGATATTACTTAGGTTGGGGAACACAACGATTCAGCTTTTGGGGCAATGCAAAACCACCCAGTCATCTCCAACAAGCCAATGTACCAGTGGTCGACTACAGCACCTGTGCGAAAAAGGCGGGAAGTAGAGTGCACGATCAAACCATGGTTTGTGTCGGTGGTGCAGGAAAGGTTGCATGTCACGGAGATAGGTAATCCCAGTAATCTTAGTTCGCAGTGATAAAAGTTCGAAGTTGAACTTTAATCCCCGTAAGTATATAGATAGGTGACGCAAAACGTATCCGAGTTTTTCTATCAGGATTCGAACACAGGCAACCCAAGCTCAACAAGAAAGTTGCTTTTGGTACAATATTGCAAAATTCCCTTCATGACCGTAAACGGAATTGAGCGTTTTCTTGCCTTCCCGATCGCTAAGGAGAAAAACAAACATAAACAAAGACGTTTTTTATTATTGTTGAGAACTTCTGCGAATAAATATGATTTTCAATCGACTACCTGGTTTACTGGTGGGACTGGGCTGACCATGACACGTACCCGATGGGTGTGCTAACTAAACATATCTTAGTTCCTGTGCCGCCGCAACCATTTAAACCTAGCTACTAATAGCTCGAAATAGCTTAATGAAATTACCGTGTATGGGCAATTTGTATTATTTATATTTTTAAGCATAAAAGATTCTTTGAACACATAATACTATTTAAGAGCTACTTAAACTTTTTAGAGCAATCTTTCTACTACATTCGTAGTTCTTCCGGGGAAATACTATCGGTGGAGCTGATCTCGTTCATAGCAAGAGTATTATCGGACGATATGTTTCAGAAGTGTCTTAACTGCCTTCCCTGACAATATTTCAAAACGCCTGAGAAATTCAGTTTAAGTGCCATGATGTTTTTCGAATAGATAATCAGATTTTGTTTTATTTCGACAGTAGCTATAACTTACTTTTGAAAAATCCTTGCGCAACATGAATAAGCTATTTCACATGAAAATACTCAGACACTTCAACATTTTACTCCTGCATAACTATTCATACGATAATGGTTAACCTATAATGATGAACAAAGCCATGTTTATTTTAAAGTGGAGGTCCCCTTGTTTGTGAAGAGAATGGGCGTTGGGTTCTGCGAGGTGTGGCATCCTGGACTGGAGATAGAAAGTGCAAAACAGATAACTACTCTATGTACGCTCGTGTCAGCTCATACATGACATGGATCGAGAACCAGATTGCAAGTAGGTTAATTAAAAGATGTATTACTTACTGTCACTTCTAAGCAGAAAAAGTATGTTATCATATCAGGAACTCATATCTCTGATCATTCCAATACTAGGCCTAATAGACTATGTTCGAAATAACATTCATACTTGGCTCCAAGGCTTGGGGAAATAAAATAAAAGAAATGTATTGATTTATTCATTGCTGAACCTTAAGATGATTGCTTTTGTTTTATTCCCCCAAGCCTCGCAGCCGAAGTATGAGTTTTTATTTACCGGAATTGGTCTATTGTGACGACGTTTTCAGGGACCGGATTACTTTTTGACTTGCCTTTTACAGTACTTTTTCCCGCGAAAACGAAAGCTCCGCTCCATCCCATAAGCGCATCAATCTCGTTCCCAGAGTCAGCGTTACCCGTATCCAGCGGCTGACAGCTTTGCGGGAAGTGAAACTCTAAATTTGCGCTGAAATCGTTTTTAAAATAAACTGATTTGTTAAAACTCTTTGACATAGTATGGAAGTCGCGCACTTGTAGTTCTGGTTATGCATGAGGCTCCTGTATGTAATCAGGAGCCCATTAGCCGGAGCGAGCAACTTCCATGCGCTCGTGTCACGGCGTTTTCACGAACCAGTTTATTTTTAGAACGGTTTTGGCACGAAATTTGAATATATTTTAAATTCCATAGTGAACCAATCCGCAAAACTTACAGACCTAAAAATGATATTTTTTGCCTTTTAATAACGTTTAGTTTTCTTTTTAATTGATATCTTATACTTCGAATGCGCTCATAGACATGGTGGAGCTTCTATTTTCGCGGAAAAAGTACCCTAAAATGTGTCTAAAACTAAACTGGTCTGTAAAAACGCCGTGACATAGCCCTAGTATGGGAGTGGCTCGCTCCTGGTTAAGGGCTCCTGACGTATCTTATAGAGCAAATGAATATGTTTCTGGTAGCCTCGGGAATGTTGGGGGAGGGAGTACCTTTCCGAAGCCTTGGTATGGCGTCACTGAGACCTTTAGTGCCCTTCAGCTGAATAAAATAGTTACTTAAACTGCACTGTCAAATGCCCTGCTTCAATACGTACATTGTTTTTTTTTATAAATTGCGAAAGAATCCGTATCTAGTTTCGTTATTAAATACTGCATGTATCATATGATTCATTAAAAAGAAGTAGAGCCATCGCTCATTTTCTTACCCTACACCAACCTGGAGTTTCCTCTTGTGTCTTATACGTCAGTTAAGTTCAACGCAGTAACTTCATTTATTTTATATTTTATACGCACTTTTATCACATAGCACAACTTATTTTACTTTCAGGTGCAGGTGACGGAGATGATAATAAAGGTAAGTATCGTTTATTTGTCAGGTTATAATGAGAAACCTACCACAGCTACTGAACTTTATTTTTGTTAACAGAAAGTAAATACTCTTAGTGGATAAGAGATCTTGAGATATAAATTTTTGCTTGTTTGTACTCGGAAATAGACTAATTGTGAGCCAAACTTTCTATTATTTATTTCAGATTGTAAAGATGAGGTACCCGAGGGAACTTGTTTGAACTCTTTACGTTTTTGCTATGTCCAACAAGTATATTCAAAGTGTCTCAAGACTTGCGGCTTCTGCGTCTGTAAGTATCTAAATTATTATCAGTAGGGAGTTATCAGTAGATTTCCGTCTTCTCATGAAAACGCCAAACGATGAACGAACTAGTGCTCTCTACACTCCTCTAACACTCTTTTACTACGAATATGGTAAAAAAATATAGCATACTAACTTAACTCGTACATGCATAAACTATTTATCGGGTCTCTGTAGCTGTACAATCAGAGTTAACTTGAGAATTGTTACTTTTTTTTTAATTTACAAAATCCCCAAGTGTCACTGAACCCCTTGAGAATATCCTCAAAAAATTGGAAAAATTTGCTTCTGGAGATTTTGTTGAACAACGCCTTTTCAGACATGTTCACAATCTGGCCAAAAGGATGGAGCCAAAACTGCCCAAAACATTGTCTACAAGACGAGCACTGCAGCTAAAGTTCGGGCCTGCGCGGAAGTAGAACATTTGGCAATGGAAATAGTTTTCTCCTACAGATTTTTCCAAAAATCGCTGGCTTTTCAAGCAGGTCAATGAGCTACAGAATCTGGCCAAAAAGATGGAGCCAAAACTGCCCAAAACATTGTGACATTGTTTACAAGTCTGCTGCTAAAGTTCGGGCATGCGCGGAACCGAAACCCTTGAGAATATCCTCGATCAAAAACTCGACAAAGTTTGCTCCGTGAGATTTAATTTGTCAACAACGCTTTTTCACGCACGGTCCACTATCCGGCCAAAAAGATGGAGTCAAAACTGCCCAAAACATTGTCTACAAGATGAGCTCTGCTAATAAATTTTGGGCATGCGGGGAAGTAAAAAAATTGGCATTGGAAATAGTCTTGACACACAATTAAACGCATTGGCGGTTATAGTGGAATGTCGATGTGAGTATTAATCGATCGCCTGCTTTTTTCTTATTTCAGGATTACAAGTTCCTCGAAATAATTCTTATTATTTTAGAACTGACGCTACCATGTGGGTTGATAATGTTGATGCTGTCAGAGTATGGATACTTCTCATTTTGTTGTCAGAGGAAGTTTAAATAAACCGAATAGGCAAAAAAATGAGTCAAATGATATGTTTTTTCTTCATTTCTTCCGGAAACTCCATCATGCACTCTAAAAGTATATACATCCATGCACAAAATATTGGCGATGAATCCAAGACCCAAGATGATATGAATTAAAAGACCAAAAGGAACAAGGGGATGGTATGATCCAATTCACTTGACCTCATTTTCAAGTTATAAGGGTTTTGACAACTATTACATACAGCTACTTCGAGAAAGGTTGTCGGAAAAAAAAGTGCACGCGACCATTCCGAAAGGTAATATGGGATATGATCAATATACTGTTCCTGACACTGTAGCTGTCGAATCTACTTTGCTTGTTGCTACTTTTACTTGTTGCTTTCCTTTAGCATTCGCAAACATACGTCCATGGCCTCTCGTGCCATTCTTTCAAATTTCTTTGAAGAACAGTGAACTCAAAACTACGGGTTGATTGTCGCGTGCACTTTTTCCGACAACCTTTCTCGAAATAGCTGTATGCGCTTTCTCTTTTGTGACATTAGCGTCATCGGAGGCCACGGCACAACTATACGTAATTTTGAGTTTTAAGCACAAGTTTAACTTGTTCAAGTACTAGATTCCCGCCAATCAGCAAGAAGCGGAAACGAGCGCGAATGTAAACAAACATTGAAAAACACGTGCCCAGGGTAATGACGTCATTACTATTGTCATCTTCGCCAATCAGCATTTCGCATCGACTTTTTCACTGCAGATGTTGAAATAGAAGTGTGACGTTAACATGGAAGCACTATTCCTGGATGACAACAAAACCAACGACGACAGCGACGGCAAAAAAGTAATCGGGTTTTGTTAACAACAACAAATTGGCACTTGCATCGCTCTACTTTGTACATTTCTTTGCCGTCGATGCACCACTGCGACATGAAACTCCCTAATTTCATATCCACGCTTTATGGAGTAGGTGAACACAACAGAAAAGTTGTCTTTTTCTTTTTCAAAAACTTAGATACGGTCTTTTCGGATTCAACCTGAGAAACGTTCGCGAACATTTGCCAAATTAACTGAATAGAATTGAATAAGATCGATGAAGTTTGTAGCAAAGCGAATTCACTTTTTGAGTGATTTTTTGGGTTTGTTGTCATCCAAAATTTTTCTACCACGGCAAAGTGTTGTAAGGACTTGTCCTCTCTATCCCAGAGACGTATAGCTGTAAGCTCTCCTTTCTTTGCCCGCCGCGCCACCAGAGCGCTCCGGAGGGCTTGCTCACTGGGGTACACCATTTTTGGCGTAAAAACACACACACCCACTAGAACACACTGCATTAGCCACGAAATTTCTAATCATCAAGTCGCCTCGAAAAAATTAAGGAAGTGCCTGGGCGCAAATTCAATCTCTAACGGCATCAATAGATTTAATAAGACTTCAAAATGTTCTAGCGGAAAATTCTGTACAAACAAGCCAAGGTTTATTTCATCAAGATTCTCTTCAAAATCTCTCATTATTATTCGTGCAGGTGTGTTGTCTCCAAATTCATATTTTCGTTGACAACAATAGGTAACATTTCTGCATCTTTCAAATGCATTGTTAGTTACTGCTGTTCACGTCAAAATGAAACTTGGAAGAGACTACCTCTTGGATTGATATGTTAAAACTATAATTTCTGACGATTGAGCAAATGAGTTAAAGGTACTGCGCAAGAGGAAAATTTCTCCGGATTTGATGCGTCATGCAGGCGTGAAAAATGCCCAGTGCGTTGCGCTGTTTTGTGAAAAACTTCCAACGTCCACCTCTTGTAATGCAGCTCGGACGTTATAGGTTGATTACTAAGTGCTAACCCAGAAATATATTTTTAAATTATTTATTTTAATTTTTGAGAATTTTTTTTATTATAGAGGAAATTAACGCTCGCCTTAAGTCTTCACAAATCTCTACTGAAAAAATCGATGCATTTCGAAAATGGGCGAAAACTCCTTGATATGATAAAGAAAATAGTGTTAGCCTTTTTGGAGCCGTTTTCTATTTCTTTTAGGAAAAAGGTTACTGTTAAAAAGAGTTTTTTTTTTGCTTAATTACAGTAATCTAGTTCGCCAAAAATATGGCCTCGTTTTTGATTTACCAGAAAGTCATAGCGGACAATGGACAATAAAGACATATATGATTGCTAGTAAGCGATCAATCTAATATACGAATATATTATTGACTATGAATATTTATATATCTTTCATATTTTTTGTTATAGTATTATATGATTATTGGCCTTCTTAAAATTACCTTCAGTGATATTTTTAACTCCTTAGAGTCGCACAATTTTTAAAACAAACAGACGAGTACAGTTATTACAAGTTATTGTTTACAACAGTATCACCTCCTCACAAATTTACATTAGATGACAATAACGAACCTACGCCACTGATATTATCATTATAAAGGAAAATAGAGGGAGATGTAAAGAATCAACCATAAGAGGACACAGAAAAATCTGAGCCCCAGATGGGATTCGAACCCACCAACACGTACAACACGGAGGGTCGTGGGTTCGAATCCCATCTGGCGCTCAGATATTTTCTGTGTCCTTTTATGGTCGATTCTTTACATCTCCCTTTATTTTCCTTTATAATGATAATCATGAAAGTGAATAAGTTACGTATAAGTAATCTATAGTGAATTTGCGTCACCTTGCCGGTTTCCTTTTTCCATAATTTTTTTTTTTTAGCTACCTTTTGAATGTACTTGCACTCGTTCTTTGACTACACCAGGAAGAAATTAAAATGTGTCGTCTAAGCTTTATCATTTGAATCTAAATGTAAACTCAGATCTTCGGATTTTGAGGAATAGGAAACAGATGCTCTGGTTGGTTTTGACGTTGGTTTAGGCTTGACTGGTGGCTTCTGGGAGCAGCTTCTGGGTGTTCGTTCCGATGGTACCGTTTTCTTTGGTGGCGGCGTTGGTCGGCGGGAATCACTGCGAGAGTGTACATCTCCTTTGCCTTTTAGCTCTTTTAAAGCATCGCTAGCTGTCATTCTTTTGCCTGGACTTTTTTCCCAGCAGGACTCCATGACTCTTATCCACGATGGAGAAGGCTTCGATGTCTTATCGATATGACAAGGTCGAAGTCCATCTTTTACATCTTGGAGGAGCTTGGATTGGTGTCCTCTGACCACCGTATAATCAGCAAACACTATCTCGCCGTACCACAACTCCCATAGTACAAAAGCAAAGCTATACATGTCTGCTCTGCTGTTGTAGATGCGACCCTCCAAGACTTCAGGAGCTAGATACAGGGACGTGCCGCAAATGGTACCAGTGATCTACTCCTCGTATTTTCCCACTCCCACGTCTGCCAGCTTTACACGTTCTCCATCGTTGGTCAACTTAAAACAATTTGAAAAGTTAAACATTATCATTACAACGTCCGATCTTATATAATATGCGATTTCATTGACCATTCTAAAATTTCAAAGGAAAGCACTGTTTTAGACAGTCACCAAGCTAAAAGGTTAATGCAAGTGTGCATGTCTGTGTCGTGAGATCTTTGCTCCAAGCTTATAAGAATAATACCATTTCATTCGCGACAAAAAAAGTGTACTGGTGAAAAATCGACCATTAAAAAAGGAGGCATTATCTGTTCCTGCTCATATGATTATCCGATTATGGCTTAATGTGGTATAATAACTAACTTACCAGTAAATTATCCAGTTTTAAATCTCTGTGTACAAATCCTTTACTGTGAATGTAGCGCAAGGCATCCAAGACCTGCAGAGCCCAGTTTAGGACTATTTTCCTTCTTGATTCATTGGAAAGTCTAGCAGGAGCATTCTCCGGATGGGACGTTACCAGTTCTCTGAGGGAACGGTCACACAGCTCCAAAACAATGGTTACGGTAGTGCCATTTGTTTCGTGCAGAAGACAAGTTCCAAAATATGTAACGATGCCAGGATGTTGCAACTCTCTTTAAAAAAAGTAAACCAAGATAGTGAAACAATTTTGTTCAATTTCATAATCTTAAAAGAAAACTTAACTTATGGACAATACTTTGTACAGTCTTAAGTAGTATGCGCCTATAATTCATTGCTAGCAATGAGTAGGTTTTTCATCCAACCAAGTAGGTAAGCTTTTTGGCTGATGATTTCCCCCGTATGTTTTTTACCCAAAAAAAATGAAGTGTAAGGAAAGAACATGCTGGTTTCCAATTGCGCTAAAGAAAAGAACTCTTTTAAGCTCCTCAAATCATGATATTGAAAAAGGAATAATAGTATTAATATTAATTATTATTTGACTTAATGTTACTTGGGCAGAAGCATTTCACATTAAATAACTCGATAAGACTGAATCAGCTAGCATTAAGGCTTACCAGGATATCAATTTATTCTGAGTATTAAACTGGACTTTCTAGCTGCTACCACTGTTGTCGTTGTATCACTCTCACGCACGTGGTTGCAGAGACTATTAAGAACTCAAAGAACCTTTTAAACCCTCAGTCCATAAAGAAGATTGGCAGTGGCCTCAGAAACGGAGCACTGCAAGAATTAGCCTTAGGGTCATAGGACGAGGGTTATTTTTCTACACTGATCGTCCCCCAAACCACGCCTGCGAAAAACCATTAGTTAGCTAAAGGTTACGGAATGTTCATTTTCGTTTTAGTGATTGTTTAAAACAAACCTTAAAGCTCTTTCCTCATCAACAAAATGCCACACGTTTCTGTCATTCAGTGGATGTATATACTCTTTTATGGCCACTTTCACTTCCGGTTTTCCACTCTGAGTAAGAATTCCTTTGTACACCGTCGAAAAACTTCCTCTTCCTATGATTGACTGGCGATGTTCATCCCATTTCAACTCATCCCTGGTAAAGTCCGACTTTCTTATTTCTTTGAGACTAAACACGGTTAGTTCGCGCCTCAATGATTCTGTCTCCATAGCCAAAGGTTCGTAGGTTTCGCGAACCACGGTCTTACTTCTGTCATCGTCAAGTAGCTTTTGATAAAACCTGTCGTTACATTCCAGTTGCTTGGGCATTTTATCCTTGAGTCGTATTAGGCACTGAATGGCATCTTCCAGCTGTTCGTTGATGAGGGGCAATAGTCGATCTTTAGTCCCAATCATCGCAAGGCATTTCTTTGATCTCTTTGACATGTAGGCAGATGGGTCTTCCTGATACCTCTCCCGCTTACCTTTATAATGGAACTTCTTCTTAACAGTCTTCAACAAACCGAGTGTTTTGAGTGGAGATCCTATAATCACTGGTGCTAAGCCTTGTCTAAGCCATATTGGAGCACTATCTTTGGACACTTTCCACGCTTTTTCTCGAGAATGAGTTGCATCCTCGTCTGCGTCCAAAAAGACGTTTTCTTCCACTTTATGAATTGCTTCTTCCATGATAACGTAATTTTTACAGCAAAATGCAGTGAGTGAAGCCTGAGCAGTTGCAAATTCCTGCGTCTCATCTTCCCAGTTCTGAACAAACTGCTGGGTCCTCTTTGAAATGCATTTTAGAACTTCATCCTTTGTCAGCTGCCAGGTTTCTTTAACCTCAGGTGCCTCATCACGGGACCATTCACAAAACTGCTTGACCGTCTCTTCGGATTTGAAGTACTCTGACAGCTTTGCAATGATATCTTCTAGGATCTCTGACTGATATTTACTAAGCTCATCAAATTTACGCTGCTGAGATTCTTGCAGTTCTTGCATCCGCCTCTTTGCCTTTGAAATTTTCTCCTTTGTTTCTTGGAGGGACAGCTTTGTGGTCTTAAGAGATATTTTAACTTGACGGGAGACACGAAAAAGGACTTCCTCCAGCCATCTGTTGAATAATGACAAGGAAAATAAACTGATTACTTCGTTGTCGCTTCGATCCTAGGGGTGGTTTATTCCACAAATAATGGTGAAAGGGAGGCAGCAAAAATTTAAATTGAGTTCAAATTTCACGATCTTCGGAGCTTTTTTTCCGGGCTGTAGTTGTTTCCAAAATATTCGAATATACCTCTAAAAATAAATGGCTATTAATTACACTGATAATGTCTGCCAGAAACGTGTGCAATCACATCCATTAGTGTATTTTTTTTTATTAGTATGTCATAAAAAAACACGCTTTACCCATTACAAATCAAACTTTGCATCATCATTTCTAAATGAGTTTATTAATAGTATGTACCAGTCCCTTTGTCCTTACCCTGGGTGCCAGAGGCTTTTCATGCGGATTTCCGATTTCACGTAGGGTGATAAGCGAGTTTTAGGCTACCACTTCTTTTTAATCCATACACGTTGGAAAATCACTTAGTTAGCAGAAGTGAACCGTGAAAGATCAGAAATATACGTGACTTTTACAGCGGTTCGAGAACTGTTCGAAAAAATTCAATTTCACAGGATTTGATCCCCATATATAAACCCTTTGCGATACCGACGCAGTACTCTTACCTCTGACCTCCCTAACAAATTTAGAGCTGGTGGCTTTTAGATTTTAAACCGAAAATTTTACACATGCATACTAGAGGATGAAGATACCAGCTTAAGTAAGTGAATACACGGAATTTCATATTTCACATAGAACAGGTTGAGCATTATGGTCCAGGTGAACGTAGTCCTGTCGGAGTAGGACTCTTGCTGACAGTGACCGACGTTTCGACTACCTGAGTGTGCGGTATTCATCTCCAGAGTCAAAGAGATCACGTCAGTTGATGGTACTAAACTCTGGTTATTGACCTCATTGGTCAATTAGGTCTCGATGTTGTGGCAGTCGACCAATAACATCGCGACTTCATCAGGATCCATGACATTAGGTCAATAATCAGATCTCATTCTCTCTTGCCAGAGTTTAATAACAATCAACCTACGTGATACTCTGAAGATGTCTACTGCACAGGATGTCGAAACGTTAGTCACTACAACAGTCCTCTTCAGGGCTACTTTCGCCCGGACGATCATACTCAACATAGCTACTTATGAATGACTCCCACTTTCACATTTTTTATATACATTTTCTTTCATAACAGAATATCATAACACCCTGGCGAAGGAATTCGTTGCTTATATTGCGCCCGCAGACGGGAATGTATAGAATCTCCTTTGTACAACTCAAAGGCTAACGGATTCCATTTTCATTCCATACACACAGTCATAACATCTATGGCGATAAGCCCGCTTAATCTGTTTGGATAAGCTCACCTTTTTCGAAATTGACTGATTAAAAACGTTGAAGCAGATTGCTTCTTTTCTCCTCATAGACCTTGTTAACTCTTTAAACTCTAAGATTAAAACTTGAATTCTCATTTGTTGCCCCTTTTCATTTCCTACAGAAGTAGTGGGGAGAAGTTGATAAAATATCACGCAAATTCATCTTGTGTGATCATGTCCGTAATTCTCATGACCACTTTGTTTTACAAAGCATTGATATTACAAAGAAGAATTTGATCCTGACCACTCTTAGCGTTAAAATACCTGAAGTGCATTTCCAACTTGTTTTGCATTGCAGAGACAATAAGATGGCTGATACCAGCGATTAAGTTGTTGAAGTCCGGAGTGATGTAACCAAACTTCTGGCAAGTCTGGGCAGTTTTACAGGACAAATAGACCATTTGTTTTCCTGGATCTAGATTTGGAAGCTTCTTGGAAAGTTTTGCGACTTGTGCTTCTTTTACTTCCTTCTGGTCGTTAGGTTGAATGAGATCCCACTTGTTACAGACAAACAAAGCACATTCGGTAAATAGGGCGAGATCATTCTTCGTGAGTTTCGCTTGGGCACACTGGAGTAACTTTTCTAACTGTTAAAAACAAAGAAGACATTGCTGACTTCCATCTCTAGATAAAACCCTTAAGGTATGCTTAGTCTCCCCTCTCCCTCTCTCTTCTCCTTCAGAATAATTAATAAAAATATTGGTGTGAAAGTTGCTTCTCAAGAGCGTCCATTACGCAAATTCCCGAAACACAGACAGCGAATTAAATTGAATTCTAACTATCCAAAGGGCTTTGGGTTTTTTGTTTCTGTCATTTTACGCTTTTTATCGAGTTGAAGTATTAAATCTATCGATATACACCCGTGATGTGAAGATCCACTAGATAAAGTCATTAAAGAGATTTAAGTATTTTAAAGCACTCAAACTCTACTGGCCGGTAAAAATTAATAGTTTATGGAGCTTATAAGTAGTGCTGTTAACGACAAGAAGATAACAGAGCAAGGAGGGTAATGTCCGTACTAATGTTTTCTAAAGATGGGTTAGCGCTTTCTGTATAGCCTGTGTAGCAAGCGTTTCCGTTTGGTTTCGGAGCAAAAAAAGACCGTGGAAGGTGATTTTCGGTTTTGATCGCGCGAGAAATGAGACGAGAACCAAAAAATGAAGGAAGGGGGAGGGGGAGGGTTCCTTTCTTTCTTCCCCACCCCCTCCCCGCTCTTTTACTTGCGCCATTTTTCGCGCGGTCTTTGACTCTTGTTCCTCGTTCTTTGCTCCTAAACCGCACAGAAACGCTTCACGCCACGCAGGCTAGTTTCAGTACAATTGATACATAAACTATAATTCTCACCCTGTCTTTCTGCACCCCTCCAGCATTATGGGTATTGATGACATACATAAAGCAGAACGCGTTGGACATGTAGTTGACTACAAATTCATCCATCACTTCACTTTCTCCTACTCCAGGACTGTCCACTATCATAACGTTCTCCTGAAATGACAGTGACATGAGCATCATTAACCACAACCAACTGTGATAAATTCATGATAACTGAGAGTTAACGTTTTCAAAGATGGATGCGGTCTGAGTGAGCTTTAAAAAACTCACCCTTTTGGGAATGTTCAAGTGGAGGACTATCCTTAAAGGTTCAATTAATCCCTCCATCTTTGATAGTTTCCTCCTTCAGGGTGGATTTCCACTGTCGCGTAACTTTTACGTGATCACGCACGTAACTTTAACATCCACAAATAAAATAGAAGCAATGCATGAAATGTCGAACGTAAGAGCAAAAGTTCTCAACATTACGTTAAAGCTCAACACTATATATTTCCTCTATTTTAAATACGAGTTAAAAATTTACGTGCGTGTACACGCATGTATCCCGTTCGCTACGAGATCCCGGACCGGCATAAAAGAATCTGTTAGCAGAAGTCGGCTTTTTCTGAACTTGGCAACTGGCCCTTGAGGTTGGTTTCGTCGTTGGTTCAATTTAAGACCGCGTGGAGTATTCACAGAGAGAGAAACAAGTCATTGAACTGACTGCTAATTGCAAATTAAATATAAATTGTTAAACCATTCTCTTGAAACTATATTCCCGTCTGGGTTTGAATTGGTACATCTGTCAAATAATTTCTGGTACAAATTTTAATACACACATAACTTTTCCATGGATCTATTTAGGTTCCCGGGAAACTGCCCACCTACCCCTCCCCTAACCCAACATTTTGCCCTAAGTGAGAAGTAAGTGTTAATGTTGACTTAGGGGAGGGGTGAGTGGGCAGTTTCCCAGAGACCTAAATTGATCACCATTACCTTAAGCAAAGGGTGTGGCCAAAACATCTCTATCTTCTTGTACGGTGTCTTGTCTCGATCATTTTTCAAGCTAACAAATCTACTGATCTGAGCTATGTAGTCTTCATCAGGACTTTCATTCAGTTCATGCATTTCTGGGTCACGTGTTTGTGTTCCGTCATCCTTGAAATGCACGTTAATCATTTTTTTCTCTCCATATTTCAGTTCGCAAATGGTAGAAGTTGTACTCAGGACTGAGAAAGGAAGAAGATCTTCTCCGAGGATCAAATTTATAACGCTACTTTTGCCAGCACTGGTTTCGCCTGTTCATCAAAACAATCCAAAACAAAGATATTTTTTATTATTTTATCAGGAGCACGTAAAAAAACCGTTGACTGTCTTGTTAAGGGGAAAGACGGGGGGGGGGGGGGGGGTTGAAAAATTTTGAAATAGATTGTTTGCATTGGTTGTAAAGACTGACATAAATTGTGAAAGAAAGGAAAGTAATGGTCCCTCCCCAAAATTTCAATCAGTTCTTGTGTTGACAAGAGTATAAGTACTGGTAAATAAATAAAATCCACTCGCTCCAATCGTTATAGGTACTTTTTCTCGTTAAAAAAAAAAAAAAAAAACAATATTTTTTTTTTTATTAAAAGAGAAAGAGAATAAAAAAAGGTGGTTTGGGGGGGGAGGGGGGGGGGGGGGGGGGGGGGGGGGGGTGTTGAAAACTTTTGAAATAGATTGTTTGCATTGGCTGTAAAGACTGACATAAATTGTGCAAGTAAGGAAAGTAATGGTCCCTCCCCAAACATTTCATCGGATATATACCAACCATTGGATGATGTAGAGTATCATGCTAAAAGAAGGTGTTAGGGTATAGACCCGTTCCTGCAGACGTTCAGTTAGTGTATTGGGGAGAAAAATGGAGCGAGGAATCAGTGATCATGACCTTAATTACCTCTTTTGAGAAAGCAAACGTTACTGGGTAAGGAGCCGGGTGGAAGAACACAGGCTAGTCCCCTATATATAGGAAAACCCCAAAACGCTGCCTCTGAATGGCTTCCTCTTTGCTGTGGTTCTTCAACAACATTCCTCAAGGGGGACTATAAGGCCCGGTTCAGACGCCGTACTTTTCATGAGCCGAACGTAATACATTGAATTAAGTACATGAAAAGCTCGGCGTCTGAATCAGTTAGGAACGTCTGTTTCAATTTGGAACGGCTCGATCAGCCGTTCTTTCCGCCTAGCCCGGCCGGGAATTTCGCCTTTGGATTAACTTTGGAACGCCTTTGATTCAGACGCGGAACTTTTCATGTATCGAATCTAATGCATAAATTCTTATAACGTATTTTGTAAGCATCAGTTTGAGCGAAATGACAATTTTTTTCCTTCTGAATTTAGTTCGGTTGGAACTAAGATCGGCGTCTGAATCAGTTCAGCCGGTCTAAATAATTTAGGTCGGCCTTAATTGGAATTAGGTTCGGCTCATGAAAAGTTCGGCGTCTGAACCGGGCCTAAGACCATCTTCCTTTGGATACTTTTAATGCAGTTCATACCTCAAAATGTGATTACCTCTCATGATACGGTATTGCCCTACAATACTTACAGAGTATACGAAGAGCTTTCATTTTCAACCTTTAGCTACAGGAATAATTAGTAAAACGTGCTAAATTGCTTGCAGTGAATTTTCTGATGAGACGTAGTTGTGTTTGGACCTCTTTTCGGAAGATATCCCCCGTGGTTTTTTACCGTAAGGACCCGTAAGCGACCACTAAATATTTGCACGTTAAACCCTGAAGGTGTGTGTGTGTGTGTGTGTGGGGGGGGGGGGGGGGGGGGGGGGGGGGGGGGGGGGGGGGGGGGGGGGGGGGGGGGGGGGGTTTGGGTGGGAACGCTTAGGACCAGATGTACAGCGACCCTCTCAAAAAACGGTATCGAAAGAACAATCATACATCAACAGTTATTGCTAACTTGCTTAACCTTTAAAAAGCCTTTGACTAAAAGTACTATTCATTACTGTTTTGAGTGAAATCTGCTTTCTGACTTGCCTTATTAGTTAATATCTCCGAATTGTTAGTTTGAACAAATTCACAAATTTTCGCGGTAAAATAAACCCCTGCAGGTTAGCGCTAATCGGCCTTCAAACAACTGGGGCACAGGTTCTTTCTCAAGAGAGGAAGGGAGAGGACCTGACTGAATACGAACATTGCAACATAATTCGTACAGCCCGAAAATATTTCGAAATCACTAACAAAATTTCACTCTTCATCATTTGATTATACATACTTATTGCACATCGCACGCAAACCAGACAAAGAGTAGTCTGTAGTGCTTTCATGGTAAATTTTGAATAACGCAATTTATCATGATCTTACCGGCGACAAGGACAGTATATTCGTTCCTTGGTTGTAACTTTGTTATACTTTCCCTTATGGTTGTTTCGAGGTCTCCAAAGCTTTCCTGGAGGGAGATTTTCAACCCAGGGTCAAGCTTATCCAAAAAGTCTGAAGTGTTTTTGTAAATGTCTTGGAGTTTCTTGCGTTTTCTTTCATCTGACTTACTAGCGTTAGAGATTACTTGGTAAGGCTAGAAACAAAGAAAATCATAATCATTAAATCACTGCAAATGTATTTTTTTGTCTTTTTTATTGGCTAGCCTGAACTTCAAACGATTACTTAGATTCGTTTACTGAGGGAGTAAAAACGAGTCGGAGTAATCTACTGCTCGGAAATTCAGGCTAAATCTCGCCACGTATTATTCAAACTTCACTGAGACTTTTCAGTGAAAACTCTAAGCAAGACAGCCTGCATTTATCTGCGGATTGTATTCCATAGATAGTTTGCAGGTTACACATTCTGAGAAGAAGAAACAGTTCGTCAGAACTAGACTTTCCTGGTGTCGGAAAATCTTATCTTCTGACATTGGTGACTAAATTAACGTTTCACAGGGAAGACGAAAGACCGAGGACGTGAAGATGATTGCCGCTTGACTAACAAATTCGACCAAGAAAAACCAATTTTCAGCCTCTTTTAGCAATAATATTGAAGGGACTAAATTTCCATCACAGTTTGCTGAGAATCGTAGAATTTGCTTACCATATAGTTGTGCAATTGCGATAGAAAAAAATAGGATACTAACCTCGCTAACCCTTTTCGTGGCAGACTCCTTTAGAAAGTCTCGTAGTTTAGCTTTCATTTCCTCACAATTCTTTAATCCTTTTGTCGGAATTTGTAAGGACTTCATTATTTCGCAAATTTCGCCCATGTCATCTATTTGGTCCAACCCGTCGCCCATCTTCATAGCAACCACCCTATCTGCGGAAATTAATGCGAAGCATGTGATGCATATGCAAAGCTAGCTGTCCTTGTAAAGAAGCCCTTTCATTAATTTTAATCGTTGTACGACGGTTAAGGGCTAGTGGTGCACCAATAACTAATGTTTATAAGTTGATGGTTTTAAAACAGCCATTGTTTTGCGCCAGAATTGATCGGGGCCACCATCTTGTCTGAAAACAATTGGCTCGCCCCAACTCTCTGTCCGTTTCATTGTCTAAGATTGCAGGAGAACATTGATCAGTATCATCTTTCGCACCGCAAAATACATGTACATGAACGCTTGCTTTGCAGCAAAATAATAATTTGAACAATTATCCTCTACGCCGCTGTATTAGGGATGAAGTTGATTGTTTTAATCTTGAAGTTAGAACTTACGTCGTCATTTTCTCCAATGAGAAATGTCTATTTTCTTAGAGACCAAACTGATGAATATTTTTTTATGAAAATGCCACAATGCTCGACAAATGCTTAATGTTTTTACACAGATAAAATGCTCGAAAAAAGCTTAAAGAGGGAGGGCTGTATTCGCAACCTATTTGTGAACCGCAATTACCCAAGATAAGTAGTGAAATCCAGAAACGATTTGTTTGTGTTTACCTTTTAAAAGCCAATTTGAGCGCTCGTATTAAGTCATATATGTGATCACAGAAAAAAAAGGTCCATCTTTTTAATCGCTTATTACTGTAAAAAGTTTTCATTATGGTCTGGGTTTTGGGTATCTGCCCTTTAATCGCATTGACTACCTTGGGACACACGCATGAGGTTAATCGATATCATTAGGATATACGTAAGAATTTGTAATTCTATATATTTTATTCCACAGAGGGGCGAGAAATTTGATTTTCATAGATAGTTGAAAATCTACAAAATACGTTAAGTTTCAAAGTCGTACATTAAAATAATTTCAAGAACTGGAATATTTATGTTTCTCTCCCTCCCCTCCCCGCCCGGGATCGATTCCCCTCCCGCGAGAATCCTTCGGGGAATTGAAAAATGTTAAATCTTTCTTGGAATATCCCGTCTATATTTTCTTCAACCTAACATTTGTTACAATCTTTATACCTTTGAGCTCTAGGTCTATTAGGGGAACTCAAGTACTAGTGCTTATTTTCGATTCAAAACTAAGTGTAACCGAGCACAACAGAACACAGCTGTTTATAAATTACGACTTCGCGCGCGCGGCAGATCGTTTCTTATCGATCGCTGTAAATGTTAAACGGGATCACGGCCATAACAATTCGGCTTCGATGCACTGCTATACACAAGGAAGAGAGTCTGTTTCTCCTATTTTGTCGGCGGAAGGAAGGTAGGTGCGCATTTCCAAAGTTATCGCATTGTACTCTTTAACATGGTTGATAAAACGAGACTGATTACTTGCCTTTTAGAAGAACATACCTTCTACAAAAGATGTCTTCAAGTTTCCACCGCCTTTACACCCGCAATGTTCAACATTGGTTGCGTTTTACAACCACCAACCTTCAAAGATCGTTTAATGCGCTCTTACTACGATGAATTACTTACTAAAAAGTTGGCAGACTCTTCTATCCAGTGTGAACTAATTGTCATCCAAACAAATTAAAAAGCGTGGGCCGCTGGAGATGGCGTCGAGTGAAGACCCTGGTAGACAGACTTATCACGTGACCTTCTTTTACTGTTGCTCACGGGTACGGTTACGCAATTATTTATTCTAATTCTTTTTGCTCAACAAATGTCACTGTTATACTGAATTGGCATTCCAGTTTTGCTACATTACAATTAACATAAAACTGCGCTTTTTACAAGATCGGTGCAAAATCATCCCGTGCAGGGTAATTCGGATTCCGGAATCGGGAAATTGTTGCTTTTGGAATTCCGAATCCAAAAATTTGGAATTCAGACTTCAGCTCTACGAATCCTAATTTCGCTTACAATTGGAATCCGGAATCCAAGTTCCACTGTCAAGGAATACAGAATCCAATGCATGGAATCCGGAATCAAGAGAAGACCAGAATCCAAGTATGTCCTAAAAGTCTTATAATATATAGATTTAGCCAGAGCTAAAAGCGAAGCTCCAATTAATAAATTTATAATTTAAATCAAAAAATAAACTTTTAATCCACAAATCATTTAACTTAAGGGCACATTCATGTGACTTTTGAGGGAAAGGCTAAGTTATTTTAGAGTGGAACATCTTGCATCGAATTGATAACCTTATATGTACACCCAAAAAATAGCAAACATCTTCGATCACATTCAAGATCACAGTAGATTAGGCCTCGAACACAATTCTTGGAAAACAAATCACCCCGAATTTTTTTGCGTTCGACAGGTTTACTTTACAAATTCTTGCCAACAAATCTGGGGGTGTTTAAACCAACCTTTTATAATTTTTATACATCACATTTGAGGTGAAACAGTACTATTTATCATACAGACCTCGGACAGAATGCAGTATTTCACAATTTTTCAAGACAAATTGCACTCAGTCAATATTCAGGACGATCAATCGTAAAGCGAAACCGTTCAAAAATTTCCAAAATCACCCATATGGCTAGCCGGTTCTCGTTTCTATAGTGCGAGCTGTCAGTGTGGTCGAGTGTTTGAATGAACTTTAATAGAGTTAAGCTTCAACATAATAGCGAATTTATTATTATTTTTTTT